CACATTATGATACATCGTTTAATTTTTCATTATGTATAACAGTTATGAATCCCGCAAAATGTCATCTTATTTTGTATAAATTAAGCTTCATTTCTGCATTTTTGTTTTCAAATTTTATCTGCATATTTTCCTACTTTTACCTACGCATACACTGAGTGCGGTAGGTGGACGAACACTTATGCGGCTGACTGTATGTATATATCACTTCAGTATCAATTAATATTGCGTAACAAAATGATGTTGATACCGGTGAACAAGCACATAGCAGAGCGAAGGCGGTGGTTTAGTGGGGGAGAACATCTCAGTGGGATTCATACATTCGTTCAACACAATAGTGCGTGTAACAGAAAGTGCTAAACGTTTGATCATAGACGCACAATTGAATAGAGGCATTGCGTACAATGGCTGCAACGACGCTTAAGTTGAACAACGGAAAATCCGTTCCCGTACTGGGACTCGGTACCTGGCAAGCCGATGTAAGTACGTTTTCGCATAATTACCGATAGTTTATCTATATTTTAAATTATTATCTATACTTTCATTGAACATTACATTAGTATACTCATAAATAAAACACAGATAACCATTAATTAGGTATGCGTGAAGAGAAATGTGTTAAAGCTTAGAAGTGTAACATGTCATGTACGTATGTACATAAACGATAATAATGACAGCAAATTTATGTACAAATTGTACGTGAATGTTTTAAGGATGATCCCAGTGTCGTCGAACAAGCTATAAGGGACGCGATTGATGCTGGATACCGGCACTTCGACTGTGCCTTCATTTATGGCAACGAAGACGTGATTGGCAAGGCTCTGCGCGATAAGATCGCCGAGGGTGTTGTGAAAAGAGAAGATTTATTTATTACGACAAAAGTAATTTTGTAATTTTGTGGTAAATCAATTTTTAACACAGGAAAACCGTCACACATCAACGTTTTCATATTTTCAGTTGTGGAACACAGATCACAAGAGAGAAAATGTGGTACCAGCGTGCAAACGATCGCTTAAAAATTTCGGACTCACTTACGTTGACCTCTATCTTATTCACTGGCCCATATCTTACGTCGTAAGATTGCAGAAATTTATCAAATGTATAATTTCCAAGAAAAAATAATCGAGAAACTTATATATGTATGTTTATTTTAGGAAAATGCGACAGGCATATGGGCTGTCGACGAGGAGGGTAATCCCATGTTTGGAGACGAGGATTACCGTGACACATGGCGCGAAATGGAAAAGTGCGTAGAACTGGGATACGCGAAAAGCATAGGTCTCAGTAACTTCAACTCGCAGCAAATCGATTCGATTTTATCGATCGCCACTATCAAACCGGCGATGAACCAAATTGAATGCCATCCGAACTTAAACCAGAAGAAACTGAGAGACTTCTGCAGGGAACGTAATATCGCTATAACCGCTTACAGTCCGTTTGGTTCTCCCCGCAGAAGCTGGGCGAAACCCACTGATCCAAAAGTCACTATCGATGATCCAAAAATTGTCGCAGTCGGGAAAAAATACGGAAAAACTGCAGCACAAGTTGTTCTGCGATACTTGGTAATTATACGGTTGCCAGTAATTATCAAAGAATAATTCATGGAAAATGTACAATTAAAAATAATCGTTACTGATTGTTGCAGATCGACATTGGCACGATTCCCATTCCAAAATCCATTTCTAAAAATCGTATCATAGAAAATATTAACGTTTTCGACTTCCGTCTTACTCCGGAGGAAATTGCATCGATTGACAAACTTGATAACGGAATTCGTATTTGTCCTGCCGCAGAGTAAGTATAAAATGAACGCGTACGCTTTTACTTCTTTGTTTCTATAATAGTGTAATTTGTATGTATCTTTTGTGTTTAGGTACAAGGAACACAAGGATTATCCATTTAACATAGAATTTTAAAAAAAAAACTTTTTCATACTATAACTTTCCACTGTTACTGCATTTTGCAAGACTTACGATTCCATGTATTTTTTTATCTATGTTTGTAACTGATTTATCGAATAAATCGCTGCTTTAGAAAACTTGTATTGTTATTCAAGTATTCAGAAATAGCGAACGTTGATTATTAATTTCATTCACGAAACCCATGCATCATGCATTATCACTTCTAACACGTTCGCGTGTCCACCGACGATTTTCAAATTAGACAAGTAATTCCTTTAATTTATTGAAATATAAAAGCTGACTTTCCCTTGGGAAGATAAAAAAATCGCGGAAGTGATAACGTGTTTAAACAATTCGTTAACGTTATGTAATACTGGCAGTATACTTCTAATCTTGGCTAGATCAAATTGTAAGCATTCATCGTCATCGTTATATAATATTTATCTCTGAAAAATAGAGTATGAATAGAAGGTGACACGAATCATTTTAATCAGTTAGTTTTTAGGATATCGTGAGACACAGTCTTCACGCAGAGATTTAGACAATCGAGAAATAAAAGCAGAAACGTGCAACGAAGAACTACACAATCCACGATAAGAGATTACTAGAGATCTATAATTAATCATGGCTGAAATACCCAACCTAACGCTTTCTAATGGTCACAAAATGCCAGTTTTTGGACTTGGTACATATCAGGTAAGAAGATATTTGTACTTTCACTGATAACAATAAAATGACAAGTAATTATTCAAAATGTGTTAATCATATCTGAGTAAAAGTTTCATCCTTAGATCCTTATCGATCAAAAACTGTCACGTGACTATTTTACGCGGTTTATTTAAACGTAATTTCAATCACATTATATTTTTATTCATCTAGTCACGTGCTGGAGAAGTAGAAACGGCTGTGATGGAAGCAATAAGCTTAGGCTATCGTCACATAGACACAGCATTTTATTATCAAAATGAACAGGAAATTGGTCGAGCAATTCAAGCAAAAATTAAGGACGGTACTGTAAAGAGAGAGGACCTTTTCATTACGACCAAGGTAATTAAATGATGTACTTAAAAAAGAAACGACGATATTTCATTCTACTTGTTTTTATAGCTCTGGAACAATTTTCATAAAGAAGAGAGTGTAGTTCCAACATGTAAAAAGTCTTTAGAAAATCTTGGTTTGAGTTACGTGGATCTCTATCTGATTCACTGGCCATTTGCTTTTAAGGTACTGTACAGACGAACGGACTTTAATTGCTTCAGTAATGAGCATCTTTAAGAACTTGTTAATTATTTCTCAGGAAGGTGGTGATCTTATGCCGAAAGACGAAAATGGTGCTCTTCAGTTGTCAGACACCGATTATCTTGAAACATGGAGAGGAATGGAAGAATGTGCGCGATTAGGTTTAGCTCGGAGTATAGGAATCAGTAATTTCAACCCGGAACAAATTACTCGCCTCCTCGGAGTGGCCAAAATTTTACCTGTGAACAACCAGGTACATAATTGTAATTTATCCCATTCAGTCGTTGTGATCAATTTCAAAGCATCATACTCACTAAAAATTCTTTCCATTTAGGTCGAAGTCAGTATAAATATGAATCAAAAGTCATTGATAGAATTTTGTAAAAAGCATAATATCACGATAACCGCATTCTCACCTCTTGGACAACCCGGAAATAGAGCTGGCATACCGAATAACTTAGACAATCCAAAGGTCCTAGATCTTTCGAAGAAATACAACAAAACTCCAGCACAAATTGCTCTACGATATGTGGTAACTAATTGTTTTTCTCTTTACTTTATCGTTTCAAAGATAGAACCTATATGTAGCACCAATGAAGAGTGGCATGTGATGTTTTTTTTTTCTTTTTTTTTTCATAGTTGCAATTTTAAGTATCGATATTTCTCTCGATGACTTGTAGACTCGAAGCTAATCATTTCCAGCAATGAAGATAAATTTGATAAGAAATTAGCACAAACATGATTTGTAACTTAGAAACAAAATCACGTATGCTTCACTCGCAGCTGCAGAGTTAATCGCTAAAATGGACACTATAAAAAAAAAAAGAATTATGTAAATATCAATTAAAATTTATCTATGCATATAGATCGTAAATTTGTCCCTTAAAATGTTCCAGTTGCAACAAGGAATCGCTATCATTCCTAAAACAGTGACACCAAGTCGATTGAAGGAAAATATGAGCATATTCGATTTCTCCTTAACCGATGAGGAAATGGCAACTATAGCGAGCATAAGTACAGGTCAACGCGTTTCACGATTTGGAGAGTAAGTATTCGAAACGTTATTTAATAAATAACAAAATACTGATTCTATGTATTTCTTTGAGAAATAATGGATAATGAAATAATTAATTATGTATCTTTCTTCTTTTTCTTTTTTGCAGTGCAAAAGGGCACAAATATTACCCGTTCGAGAAATAGTAGTTTGGTGACAAACGAGTGAAATGGCAGGAAACAGCTCGTCAGATTCGGTATAAATTAATAGTAAGGCATATCCCCTTTGAACTTACATAATCCCACGCCGTAATTCGGCACTCGTTTGACCCTTATCTAGTCAATTAGGTTTATTGAGTGCCATGGAAAATTTCGATGCTTCGTTCGATATGACCACATTGTCATTTGATGTATACATATGTATACATATATTGCGAATAAATAAATTTGCATACGAGGAATAGAAATTATCTAACGACAGATAATACCCTTTTTCCAATATCAGAAGTGGTACAATATCGTTGACAATACTTCAAGTCGACGATATATGCATAATTATGTGCAATCAATATAGTAACAAGGTGTTCGTGAAACACTAAAAAGGAAACTAGTGTTCTAGGAACTTGTAACGCACGGATAAATTACGTTCCCGCGATTATCAGAAACACAGTAGCGGAAATGCGATTAACGAACCAAGACGGAACGGAACGTCGCTGAAAAAAAAAGAAAAATATGTCTTACTGTCAGATGTCACATAGAAGAAATAAAAATTAAAAAAAGTTAAAAAGAATTGATTTTTACTTAAACCTACTTTCTTTGATTCTCGTTCATTCTCCTCTTACTGTGGAAGAAGCATTCGTATTTCAAGGTGCAACTTGAATAAATTTTATGGACGAAACATTTCCATAAAGATCTACAAAAACACTAGCAGTACATTAATAGGATTCTACTAAAACAAAAGATCGTGATTTATACTGATTGCAAATTCTAAGCTAGCCTCCTTCAAGGCCAATCATTGTCACATGATCGTGTAGGCGAGAACACTTTTTTAAGATGATTCAGTCAACAAACGAAATTGCTTATTTTATATTCGCTCCCCACAATGCACGGACGGAACTTTTTCCATTGTTACCTACAACGAGAGATAGAATTCATCATTTTCTCAATGGTATTTTCTACTGTGCCGCACTTCTCTCTCCTTGACGTTGAACACTGTAAAATCAATCCATCGGTCAATTCACCAATAAAGAAATCGAGAAATTTCTGGAATTCGCGTGAAACACGATAGCACACACGTGTATCATAACTGAAATTACCAGTGTTTAGTAAATTTAAACATGACCTTCTGAAGTTACGATAATATCGTAAAAGTGGTACACCTTTTAGAAAGGTATTCGTTATCAACCTATTGACGGTCACGCATTCGCGATATTTGCCAACAAAATCGTTACCCGGACGGATCGGTTACACGATGAATCATATCATGCAAACGTAAGTTTCACAAAACTAAGGTATATATCACGTCACGTGTAAAAAACAAATTTTCTTTTGCCGATAAATGCATTTACAGTTGAAACAAACTTCGACACGAATAACATGTACCGATTGAACGATTTTCTAGATGGAATACAAAATTATCCAATCAACAGAAATCGCCGTCTTGCAGGAGAATATTGTCGTCAGATAATCTAGCTTCGCCAGTGATTGCTGACTGTGGTACATGGAGGACTAGAATGCTCGCTAAGGTGAAAGAATGCCGCGATGCGATCAAGAACATGATGGCCTTCGACAAGATTCCAAACAACGTTGAAACTGCACGAGGCCTGGATAATTCCAATATTCCGCCGAGAGCAACAGCTTCTATGTCCTCGATACCGGATATCATTACGTTCAGCAGTATCGCGTTGAAGCATAAGGATTACGATTACGAGCCACTTCTAACGGACAACTTGAATTCGGATGACGTAGAGAAGATGAATGCATCCGACGAACGATTAGACGATATGAAGAACACGAACAACAACGATTCGTTCGATCGTTTCGTTTTCGGTGATCGTACGACCAGTAGCTCATTACAGTCGTTCTTAACGCTGGAAAAAAAAATCAACGATGAGTATTTCGAAGAGGAAAACACGTATACTATTAAGAAAAAAATTTCTGCAGAACCGTTTCTTTCTTACACTGATGGAGTCACGGAATTCGTTTGGACGGATGATACGATGGAGGAGAGTTTTCCTGGAAAAGCTTCGAACTCTCTGGATCACTTGAATTCCTCTGATATTGGCTTCGAGAATCCACGCATTAACTCAACGTTCTGTGAGAATTCTCACGTGAAGCAGAATCGTACGTCGTCCCCAATTCGAAGATGTCTCTTCCAGGATTCTGGTTACGAAAATAATTTCTCTATATAAATTGATTTTACGTTATATAATATTGTTGATCTGATTTATATATTCTCGTGATATCTTTTTTTTTCTTTGTTTATTAAATATACTATTTTATTTATTGTTACTTTTGTAAATCGATTTATTTTACCGAATTGAATAAAGTTTAATACAGAAGGAAGAAAATTCCTTAAATAGTTGTAAGGAATCTCTTTGAATTTCTTTGATATCCCATTTGCTGAAAGTAAATAGAAACATCGCTTAATAACCTATCAGTACGTCAACAGCCGTTCAGATTCTGACATTGTGAAAATCGGCCAGGACAGAACAAACGAGCCCCGTAATCTTTCTCGAATCGAAAAGTGAAGGATCAAGCGTATATGTATGTATATCAAGATTATCAAGTCTCGATATTGACGTGTAACGGAACAAAAAAACATGGTTGGTGTATTAATTTCGAGGCGGTGTGTTTCGAGATTAATAAACGGAGAACGATAACGCAGAAATCGTCGAAGATATCGATCTCGTGAAACGACTATCATGCCCATGTACGCAAATCAATATAACAGCTCGTTCCTGTCCTGCGAGAAACTCAAGGAAATATCGATCGTCTTGAAGAAAGGAAGAACCACACAGAGCAGAGTGATGAACTTCATTCTGACGATGTTCGAGTGTATATTGATGAACGCCGACCATCGAATATACCTGAACCAGTATAAGAATGTTTTCAGCAAGAAAAGCATCAAGATTCTACGTGACGATTTGAAGAATCTTCTACAATTTAACACTAAGTTTTTCGACACTTTGTTCTTGGAACTGCTGTTGGAGGCACTTAGAAAAGAAAAGAATTATTGCAACAGATGTAGCAGACTGAATTTAGATGAGAATGGAATCGATAAACGATGGAATAAAATGGTTCTTCGAAGAAGAATCAAAGCTATCGTGAAGTTTCTCATTTTTCGAAAAGTAAAAACATCCTCCTATTTTCACGACGAGAATAATATAACAGATTGGTCCTCTTACAAGCAGAAAATTGGTTTCATACTTAACAATGAGATTAGTCCGAGTCAGTATTACATAATGTATGAAAATGTATCTAATAGGAATGAACGTATGAAAGATAATTACGAGAGGAATCTTGCAGCTTATATTTACTGCAAGATGAAGAACGAACGTACAAATGATGCAAAGAGTTCGATAAGTTATTCAACATTTGAACCTAATTTTTATGAAGTTTCAAAGTATACATGCATAGGCTATGTTTACAGTAAAATCTATAGTCTAGTCCGCTATGGTTGCCTATGGATTTTCTGTTTCTTACTTCTGCGCGTTTTTCTTCCTAATATTATTAAATGTTACACATAAATTAAATTAATATAATTATAGTAATGATCGTTTCAACTTTACGTCGTGATAAGTGTTCAATTCGTGTTGTTCTGTTCGTTCTTTTTTTTAATCAAGATGTATCGCGAATGATTTTACTAATCCGCCCGATAAAATTGATAAATCTGCTTAACTTGTACTATATTAATAGAAAAAAATGTGTCACGCGATATATTAGCTAATTAAGATACGATATAACTGCATGTATATTACGTAAATTATTAGCACAGGCATTTTATACTTGTACTTATGAAATGTAAAATATTTATCGATGTGATAATATGGCTGAATCCAGCTGGCACTGTTTTCAAAACTATAATACCAAACATACTTTTTATTTTTTTTGATAAGAGAATGTGATCGCCCTTGAAGGTCAATTTTTGCGAATAAATTTTGTGTAAAATATAATTGTGGAAATTTTCTAATTATAATCACGTATTTTTACCTCACGGTATAGTGCAATTATGTCATTGGTTAGATCACAGCCAATAGAAGATATCTCTATCGTTAAACATTTTCAATGTTCGATACTAGAACATTTAACGGCCATTAGTATGAAACTGTTTAAATACTCTCATTGTTCTACATTCATTAGCTTTCACAATAAGCTTATTCATTTAAAATTCTTTCATCTAGTTGTTTAGAAAAGAAAAAAATTCTGATATTTTTATTTTCAACGTTAAACATGAAGTTCGTTCAAACAGGAACGAAGGAGCCAATGTAAAGAAAATGTCGATTGATAATCATGTATCGATTTGAAGTTAAATTATCAGCACGTCAAGTGCTTGAGTGTACATAATAAAAAATATTCTATAATTCTTTTCTATTTATTTTCCAAGTAGTTTATTTAATTGAATATCAAAGTTTTGAAAATACAATTATTGATCGCAATTAAATATTCTTCAAGTAAAATGTTGTCTCAAGTCTCAAGTCTCAAAAATGTCAATAGGCTATTTACTTACCAGCAAGTGTAATGGAATGACGCTGGTTCATATTGGTGCATTTGCGAATTTTGTGCAACGTAGCGAAAAACATGGTTAAAATTGTGTTCGAGAACAATCCATTTCTGTTACGAGAGTAATATTATTCTCAGTAATTCATTCATTCATTCATTCTTAACGATCAAGGGATTCAACTGTCCCTTGCCGCTTATAACGGACTCTGTAATTTTCCATAGGGCTTGTTTCTGGTTAACGAATATACCAGCGCCCCGGGACTACGATCGAGATACATATACAAAGAAATCTTTCTGTAGAATACATAGAACTTATTATGTAAGATCACACACATAGAAATAAATCATGAAACGCATGCGCAGAAAAGCTGCGAAAATCAGGGCAGTATACTTTTGGGGAATCAAGGGTGCCATTTTTTTAAATTCAAATTTTCCGACATTTTCTTCGTGAAATTCGTTGTCTTCGTGTTCATTTTCTTGAATATGCTTCAAACATAAAATATCTGAGTCTGAAAAACAGGAAGCAGATATAAAACATGCGATATATAAATATTTTAAAATTCAATATTATAGAACCTTTTCAATGAAAATATATTTCTTTTCTAACAGTCACATATAGCGATAAATGTAGTCGATAAATGTATTGAACTAAGATTAGAAAAGAAAATTTTATATTAAGTAATAGCAGTAACGTTCAAATGTTTGAAAGACTGCAAACAATGGTAGATTTTCACTGTAACGAGAAATCACAGATAATATAACCAGAATTTATTATCTAAAATATGATATGCGATATATCACAAATATTTATCGATTTACATGTGAAAAAATCACGCTCTATGCTTTGGTATACGGGTCTGCTTCCGGGGCGGGGGGCAGGGTGCAGGGATTGATGGTGGACATTTATAAAAGGAGCTACATGAATCTACCGGCACTATAATACCGGCATTCGTGTTGATAGTGTTTCAAATCATAAAAAGTGCAACAACGGTGCTAAAGCTGTGTTTCGAGCAATAAAGTACAGGAAATTATCAAAATGTCTTTAAACGTACCGAGGCTGAATTTCTACAACGGCAATGTGGTACCAGTCTTTGGACTTGGTACATGGAAGGTTTGTACTATCTCTAGTGAAGCACCTGAGTTAGCAAAAAAATAGATAAAATTATCCACGATTTATGTTACATGTTTCCTTATTCAAAATATCCACGTTAACGAAATCATGTATGTCATAATAAATTAATGAATATCTATTTCTGTATCTGCTATTATACTTCGTAATTTGAGACGCAATAATATTCAACGATGTTCTCGAATCTACTAAATATATTAAACAGTTGGCCAGTATCTGGAATGTAGTCTTCCGCTTAGTCTGTGTCCGCGATAAGGTCATTTATAGTGCCATGTAGACTTCCTGTTTTTATTTTTTTGACATGAATATATTAAAATTTCAACTAAACGAACAATAAATAAAACATTTCCAAAATTATAAACTATTTTTTACATTCAGATTTATAATATTTTAAAATTGTTTTCTAACTTATCTACATGTTTTAGTTTTCCATATGTCATTTGTTATGCTACATTAATTTAATGCTTTGATTAAATAAAATGTGATAATGTTACATAATTGCAGATCATTACTATCATGAACTTTGTATATGAACTTTCATTGATATTTATAATCAATGCTAGTGTATATTGGAGAAAGATAAACAATTTAGTCAAGTCATGTAAATGGTATCATGCCATTGAAGAAGTTACTAGAAGCAATAATATCTTATTATTGTGCAATACCATTTTCTTTTTTTATTTATTTTACTGATAAACTTCTCTTTTATCCTTTTAGTCCAAACCTGGAGAAGTTACCCAGGCTGTTAAGGATGCAATTGATATTGGATACCGTCACATTGATTGTGCCCATGTATATGGCAATGAAAAGGAAGTAGGTGCTGCCCTTAAAGCAAAAATTGCTGAGGGTGTTGTGAAAAGACAAGACCTTTTCATCACAAGCAAATTATGGAACACCTTTCACAAACCAGATCTGGTTGAACCTGCCCTCAAAACAACTTTGTCTAATCTGGGTCTGAACTACTTGGATCTTTATTTAATTCACTGGCCAATGGCATACAAAGAAGGAAGTGATCTTTTCCCACAAAATGCTGATGGCACTCCTGCCTTGAGTAATGTAGACTATGTAGATACATGGAAAGCTATGGAGCCTTTGGTATCTAAAGGTCTTGTTAAGAATATTGGTGTTAGTAATTTCAACTCTGAGCAACTAGAGAGACTGTTCAAAAACAGCACAATCAAACCAGTTACAAACCAAGTAAGTATGAGTTCATTCAACCCTCATAAATGGTATTTAATGAATATATTTTTTATAATCTTTATACATTTCTAGATTGAATGCCACCCATATCTTACCCAAAAGAAGCTTTCTAAATTCTGCAGAGAGAAGGACATTCTTGTCACTGCATACAGTCCCCTTGGATCTCCTGACAGGCCATGGGCTAAGCCAGATGACCCAAAATTGTTGGATGATAAGAAATTGGGTGAACTTGCCAAGAAATACAACAAAACACCTGCTCAAGTCCTTATTAGATACCAGGTATATGAAAATACCTCTTATCCAGTTATATTTGCAAACTTAATTTTTTAACTCAACAATAAATATGTTTTTTAGCTGGATCGTGGTCATATTGTAATTCCTAAATCAGTGACAAAATCTAGAATTGCTCAAAACAGCGAGGTCTTTGACTTCAAACTTTCTGCAGAAGATATTGCATACATTGACACCTTTGACTGCAATGGCAGAATCTGTCCAATGACAGGGTAAATATTATAATTTTTTTGACTTGCGATAATTTTTATGAAAATATTTTGTTTTTAACATAAATATTCGTACTTTTTCAGTACGGAATCTAGCCCGCACTACCCCTTCCACATTCCGTTCTAAGTATTAAAATTAATAGTGTACAAACTGTTCTGATTTACAATATCTTTTTCTGTACATTTTCTATGTCAAATTTGTATTAAATAAATTACACTATACTAAAACTGAAAATATGTGTACATGACTTTCCTATTCACATTTTCAGTTATTTTTAACATAATATGGTTGTGGATAACTGGATAGTGAGAGATAAGATACTGATACAATATAAGTAGGGAACTCGACGGCGGTATGCATTAGTTAGCAAAAGTAAGGTGAAGGGTATGTTTTAATATGATGGTGCCATCTGTGAAGTTCAATAACGGTAATCTCTGCCCTATTTTGGGTCTGGGTACTTGGAAGGTATGTTCTACAACATTTAAAAGAAATATATCTATCAATTCGTACAAGTGAAAGATATTTTATTTAACTTTTATTATTTTCAACGAGAATTCTTCTAATTTTGAAGACTGAAATATTCTGCTAAATGATTCATCTATTGCACCATATTTTGCAATTTACATTACATTTCATTTATTGAATAGTCTAAGCCCAATGAAGTGACCCAAGCAGTGAAAGATGCCATCGACATTGGATACCGTCATTTAGATTGCGCTCTATTTTACGAAAATGAAAAAGAAGTCGGAGAAGCGATCGCGGCGAAAATCAAGGAAGGTGTTATAAAACGCGAGGATCTTTTTGTCACGAGCAAATTGTGGAGCACGTATCATAAACCTGAATTGGTCGCAACTGGGTTGCAGACCACTTTAAATAATCTTGGACTAGAGTACCTTGACCTTTACCTAATGCATTCACCAGTAGGGTTCCTACGTAAGTTTTAACTTTTTCTGTTTTAGATAATAAAAAACTAAAATACCATATTTTTTTACAGCTGGAAAAGCACTAGTTCCCAAGGATGCTGAAGGTAATATACTAACCGACGATACCGATTACGTCGATACTTGGCACGAGATGGAAAAGCTTTTAAAAAAGGGTTTAGTGAAGAACATTGGCATCAGCAATTTTAACATTGAGCAAATAGAACGATTATTACAGAAGAGCACGATTAAACCAGTGACAAATCAGGTCGAATGCCATCCCTATTTAACTATAAAGAAGTTTTCTGAATTGAACAATTCCAAAGGGATCACTATCACCGCTTACAGTCCTTTTGCGGCTCCAGACAGGTCTTCCGGCGATCCTAACGAACC